TTTTTTTTTTTTTTTATGCAGTCTTATGCAGTAGGCCTGAACATGTCAGCAATTTTGTGGATGCTGAGTCCTTTTTTGGCCCGGTACTATTACTTGCTGTGATTTTGACCTGTCAGAGTCATGGTTTGTTGATCCTAATTATCACTAACGATGCGTTGAAATAAATTAATGAATAATTAGATTAGGGCTTTTACTTTGCTGTTTGCTGGTATATTACTACCTAAAAAGATTCTATGGTTTATATGGATTTGTATTGGCATATGTTGGTGTGAAGAGTGAGAGCTAGAACCGAATTACAATGAACATGCAATGAAACTAAAGTTAGGAGTATCGTGATCATAATTTTAAGTGTGTTTTTCTTTTTATTTTAGAATCGAAGACTCTATTGGTTTCAAATTTAATAATTGTAAGTGTGCATTTTATTTTAGAATTGAAGACTCTAATTGATTTTATATTTCGAATGGACTAGTGCTCTTAACTTGATAGCTAGCTGGTGTTGTACTGTGCTCTTTTGAGCAATTCTTTGGCTTGTTTGTAGTAGTATTATTATCCCATCTCTTTTCTCCGAGGAAAGGAAGCACGAAACTGTGAATTCATTTGTTGTATTCTCCTGCAGGACTCTCGCCTTGTCTACAAGCATTTCGCAACATTATATTTTGTGTTCATATTTGATAGTTCTGAAAACGAGCTTGCTATTCTTGACTTGATCCAAGGTAGATTCCTAAACTACTCCCTATGCATGAATATTGTTGGTATTGCCTAACTATTTACTGCATTGCATTAAATGTCAAAATCCAGAAGATTTGTCTTTTACTCTTTTTACATGGACAAGTCTACTAAATGGTTTGTTCGATAATTTTGCACAGTAATTACTACTTATTGGTGTGCTTGGCTATCACTTAGTTTCTGTCTTGAGTATCTTAGAAGCTGTGAACTTTTGGTTGAAAACTGGTATCAATTAGTTTTTATCTTGCAAGGTAAAACTGCCTAGTACCAACTATAGACCCTGAAAGTGGGTCTGTCCCTTCACTGGACCCTGAGCTTCGCTTTTTATGATTGACACCCCCTATCTTGAATGAAATATGTTTGATATTACCCTCAGAATACGAGTATAACTTGTGAGAAGCACAAAAGGATGAAAATCTGCTACAAACCATCTATAACCTGTAAATTTAGGAGTTTGAGAAGTGTCTACAGCATTCTAATGAAAAATGTGAATGGTATTAACCGAAAATTTTAGCATATCATCAAACTGAGAAACAGTATGATAGATGTACTTGTTTATCTGATTAAAAGATAATGTCTTTGATGCTGGTTCCCATTATTAATCATTATGATTTCTGGTAGAGCTTAATTATGTCTTTTTATCCATGTATGTAGCCAACCTTGTATTGTGGATATGGCTTAGTTGTTGTTGTTTTCTGTCATAAACATGTGAAAAAAAATTGCAAACACAATTTACATTCTTGATTTTTGTTGATACTTATATTCTAGATTTTTGAAGGGAAAGGAAAAAAGTTTAGTACAAGTTGTAGGAAAATGCTCTGGAACCTAATTACAAATCAGCATGAACAGCTCTTTTCATTAAATTTTAATTTTAATTTTTTTTGGGCCAAACATTTTTGTGGTTATTTTGCATTTTTAATTTCTGGACTTGCTATTGTTCTCAGAGAATTCCCATTGGAGGTAATAGTGTTAATAATATATTAAACCTTTAAATTATTCATTTTCTTTAACCATTTCAATTCTATTGCATTTTGTGCCAAGGATCCTGGTAGAGTAATTATTTGCACTCTGTATTATCCATTACGTTCTGCATGGCTATTGTGTAGCTGTGCTAACAGTTGCTCATTGCTGCCTTTTATATCATTGTTAATTTTATGGTTTGATTTGCTTACTTTGTCCCATTCTGCTTTCAGTCTTTGTTGAAACATTGGACAAATGCTTCAGAAATGTATGTGAGCTTGATATCGTATTCAACTATAGTAAGGTGTGTGCTTTGTGCCCTCAATTATGAATCTTATATATATATATATATTTTTATATAACAAATTGACTCCGTATGATACCATGTAGCAAGAAATTAATTAGAAACTGCGTTATGATTTAGAGAAACATTTTATTTTGCATATATAGAGATTCACTGGAGTTTGCCACTGTCTGTGAGTTTGAATTATTAGATTCTTCTCAATCAAATATGAAGCAATTGACAATCTCAATCTATCCTATTTTACTCAAAAGGTTGACGACAACTTTATATGTTTATTTGTTTTCACTAATCTTGGGTTGTTTTTGAAATGCCCTTCAATAGGGAAGTAAATTCTCTCTTTTGCTCAGTAACGCAATAGTTTCAATCCTTTGACTCAAGCAATATCTGTTTTTTGAATTTCCATTAATGTGATCATAAAAAATGAGTTCATCTGCAGATGCATACTATACTAGATGAGATCATTCTCGGAGGCCAGGTGTTGGAGACAAGTTCAACTGAGGTTATGAAGGCTATTGAAGAAATATCAAAGTGCTCTCTCTTTCCTATCTGGTTTTTAACACGGTCTTTCCTTTTTACATTAATCTGAAGGAAATAATGAGTTTTAGTTTCTGAACCTTTAATCCCAATTTGTATGCCAATGTGGTAGCGGCCTTTGGCTAGGATTAAAAGATACCAAATGAATGATTTCGCTGCATATTGAAGAGACTAGGACTCTCCCCACCAAGTGTCTAATCCTCTCTCAAATGATATGATTTCTCCTCACCCTCCCCTCTTCATTTATAGGCCACGTGTCTTATTTATTTTACTATCTCAGCTCACCCAATTAACCTAGCTAATCAACTCCCTCATTAGTATACCCCTAACTATCTACTAATAAGTATCTATCAAAGATGGAACGACAAACCAAAATTATCATGTTTTTTTATACATATATTTCTCTGCTTGAATTCAACATTTTATGGAAAATAGGTGCTTATTATAGATGCATTTTGTGTGCATACCCGTGTATCTGATTGTGGTTTATGCGTGAAAGCAGACTTGAAGCAGCATCCAATGCAATCAATCTTGTTCCAAAATCTGTTTCTAGTTGGAGGTCACGGTAATATAATTGCAATTAAGCTGCCGGAAGGATCTGCGTTCACACATACAAGGGATCAAAAAGGTGAAGTATCTATGCATAGGGGAGTCCGTAGGATGTATTGTCGTCCAAAACCCTAATGTGAGTGCTCCCATTTGAAATGACTGACATCCTGATATAATAACGGGTTGGTTAGGCAATTGGTGAGTTTGCATTAGTGATTCCCTACCCTTATTGATCAAAGAAACCGTGTACTGTACTGTACTGACCACTCAATTGTTCCCAGATGATTCCAATTTCACTTAATCTGTTTGATTCAATTGACTTGAAATGTTGACCTCGTATAAATACTTTAATACACATTAAAATTAATGATCAACCGTAGTCGTAGAATTCCCGTGTCAAGCAGTAACAAATGGAATCAATGCATTGAACAAGCGGCAAATTATCTTAAAGAAATTACAAGTTATAGCATATTTGTTATGCTGCTCATCCAATTTGATAAATAATTGTCATTATTCTTCTATCTAATGCGTTGCAAATTTTGCATAAGTTACTGCATATAATTCCAATGAAATACCAATTCCTCCGAGCCTGTTTACAGGCACTGACAATTTGAGCGAGAGTCATAATTAGGTATCACCACTTATGTTCTTTCTCCAACATCTTGAAGAACTAAACGCGCAGCATTACGTCCAGGTGCTCCCATAACTCCGCCCCCAGGATGTGCCCCACTTCCGCATAAGTATAACCCTTGAAGCGGAGTCTTATAGTTTGACCTATGTCCCAAATCAATGAAAACAATATCAGCAGGA